AGATAAAAGTTATTCGATCACTGATGTAAGTAGGTGACCAGAGGAGAGTATTCATGGATCTTCAAGTTCATCTTTGAGCTCATCTGAGGAAAAAGTGACGATGGATGAAACTTACCTTAGGAGTTGAAAAGCCAAATATTCCTGATCTTTCTGATGATATTCGACGCTTGTGATATAAGAAATTAATTAGTTCCGCTTACTAAATTAGATAAACATCGTATCTTCAGCACATTATGCTAAAGATGCAAAATATCTAAGACACCAATGAAGTCATTGTTCTTCGACTGGGAGAGAAGGCGGGAGATAATGACAAAATGCATAAGAATTATTATCGGAAACAAACTCAGCCATAGAGGAAGTATTGAAAGAATGCAAACATAGGTCGATTAACGTATGCAAAGATAAAACTTTGATGAAAAACGAGATAATAACAATCACAAATGAATAAATTTGAGGTAATTGAAAAGAAATAATTTTAAAAAGACACAAATTAGGATAAAAGCAATACAAAAATGAAATTTCGACCAACCCAAATATCAGGTCCAGCCTCAGACACAGGTGAAGTCGCTTCGAAGGGAAGGGGTAGCACAAGTGGTATCCGGGAGAACAGCAGCATGAGAAAGCTTCGCAGAGAAACAATCAGGAGACTACATACTAGGTAGCCAGAGAGGAAGTCGAAGAATATCGTACACTCGAGACCACCGGAATGGCAGGTACCGCCTGAAGAGCGGGCGGGCCAGCTCTGACCGCTGGTGAATCTTGCAAGCGAAGCCGGAAGACAAGCAAAGCAGGCAAGAGCGAAGCAGGTACCATTGTTGTGCTGCAGTAGGCTCCAGGGCCGACCAAGTGGCCGGATAACTGGCGTCTGACCGATTACGTAGCTACCAGCGATTCGGCGAAGAGGCCTGAGAGGCACATTGTGACATGTTCGTAATACGAACACCTTTGATTTTGGTATGAGGTCATATGAATATAAGGAAAAATTTTCATCCTAATTCTCAAAGAGAACTAGCATTCCAAAGCGTTATATTCTTTGTCGATGACCAAATTGGTATCACACATCCATTGATGGATCTGTAGGCAGATTTGACTGAACAATAAAGACTAAAATGGGCTACAATCTTGACTTCACAGTCTTCTCACCGTCGCCACATTAAATAGCAACATAGCAACCCTTGCGTAACGCGAGTTACAGCAAGACAACGGGATAGACACCCGCAAAGCACCCCTATTCAGAAAGTTTTACCCATATATATATATATATATATAGCTTCGGTCGCTAGCCTGAGATTCATTGTCTAGTCCACTCACCCAAAGGTTGTAGAGCCGCCATCTTGAATTCAAGTCTGCTTCTTCAAATAATTGTCCAATTAAGCGCGCTTTTAGATACACCAACAAACAATCGTTGGTAGTAGGGAGCGTTCATGACTTTAGCCGATATTTCACTAAAACCCCTTGAAGTATACGGATCCATGCGTGTTAGGTGCCTTCCGAAATAACTAGGCCTCAATAAATCGCTGTTGAGAGTGCACTGAAGGTTGTTAATTCAAGACTAAGCAAGAGAATCTTAATATGTTTTTCAGCGCAACTCAGTTTAATCGGTCACAATCTATTGATAAAAGTAAATGGAGCTAGTAAATTAGGGATGATAAAAAAATTGTATCATCTATTTGTTATTACGTAGAGGTATGCAGCCCTATTCATAACCTTCAAACAATGAATCTGTTAATCCTATCTTCCTGATAGAATATTATTGAGTACTTTCACACCTTTGCTGCGGTTATTCAAAACTATAACAGATTGCCTCGTCTTACAATACCTTAGCAACCCCGGAGAAAGATAGTCCCTCAGGTTGGAAACCCATGCTTGACTTTCGTATTGTTCCATTTATCAATTATTAGCAACTAGCAGCAGGGCATTTGAAAAAGAAGTAAGTGGTTGAGTTTCAGGCAAATTCATCGGTCCATCAAGCGACAATCTCCGACCCCAGTGGTTCATGTTATTTTCTTAAGGTATTTTCCAGTTTTTCCCGTACTCGCCCTTTTTGTAATCAGCAACGTAAATTCTCCTTTTCGCAATCGGACTTTAACTTATATACCTCATTATAAAGGCTGTATTTAAATTAGATATCCAACCAGAATATTACTCATTATTACAGAACCAAACCGCTATGAAATTCCGTAGATTGCACTATTCTATTTTTCGTATTAAGTTCTACAAGTCCCGAATACCTACTAAGTCTTTCCAAGACTGTAAATGTATTAACTAAATGGTCCAAGAGTAAATAGGAATGACAGGATTATGAGCAGATATAAATAAGTAAATAAATTTCAATATATGCATATATTACCTAGTCCTAAAAAGATGCTGTTCCATAAACCAGCTGCTTGCCTCCAAGCCACTCGCCAGCCCAGTTATAAGAAAAAGAGAAATAGCCCCAGGCATCTGAAAATTGATAGCAGTTTTGTCATTTGTCGGAATGAAATTGAGTGATGCTATGGCTGAAGAGTGGAGTATCTGGGCTTTAGACCGATAAAAGAGACAGATTCCGAGGCAAAAGAGCAAAAAAGATTCGAGCCAAGGCAAGCCAAAGAAGTTTACATTAAGTAGAGGTGAACTAGCTGACAGGCCAGACGATGCCTCTTCATTTGTTTCTTCATGTATATGGACAAAAGGAGTCTGGAGTTGACGCTTCGTAATTAATCCAAAGAACCATCGAGAAGCTAAGAAAAATTGTGTAAAATCAATTAGAAAACAATTAACAGGTCAGCCTTAAGTATTATATCTAAATATACTATGATTATTTTTTGTATATAGGCAGAGTTCGGAGACTACCAGTAAATTAGTTATATGAGGTGTACTTGACTTTTTCGTTTAAGGTGATAAAGGACTCGTACTAGAATTCTCTCACACAATGATATGAGTGGGGCTGGCGCTACCATTGAATTTCACATAGTCTTGCTTTACCAAAAGTTGTTCCCATCCAGGATGGACAGCAGTTTCGACCTCGCCTAGGTCTTATCAACACCCCCAGCGGGAATGAAAGATATATATTTAATCAATTGACTGTCAAACTTTTAACAACGAATTAGGAGTTATAACTGATGCAAAGATCTAATAACAATCTACCTTGTAAGCTAGTGGTCTGGCGCTTCGAAATCATTAAGTTCTCTTAAAAGATACCTGTGTAACTCGAACGTGTGGGCCGAAGGAAGATCGTGGCCAGTATAGCATATGCGTCCTATAGTAAATTGGTTAAATATAAATACCAGCCCGTAAATGGTGTATTTTTTCAATAGCCATTGTATTGATGCATACAAAAATTCGACTACCAGCGATGATATCCGTGTCAATTTAAATCGCGATTTTGCCGTTTAAATAACTCTGAGTGAAGGCAAGAAGAAAAGAGGAGATAATTGGAAAGGAGTAGAGTTGAATTAAAGTAGGATCCAGAGAAAGAAGAGAAAAATGGAAAGAAAACTTTAATCAAATAACTATTGGGGAAAGGTTAAAGGATGGGGAAAGTAATTAAGAACATAGGATAAAGTGAAAGGGAATGGTTGTGGAAGGGGGGAGGTAAGGCATGTGGATAGAATGAAGAGAAAATAAAATTAGTATCATGCAATATTCCTCACTTTGAATGGTCCAAGAAGCCAAAAGTCCTGATACCAGAAGAATACCTAGCAAGCCGCCGAGCGAGGAGAAAGAGGCTTCCACAGCTGCTTTTGTACTCGTCAACAGCACAGAAATATAAATACTGAAGCTATCGGTTAAAGTGCTAGGCTCAGACCCTTTCAAAAAACTGACCATTTCTGGAACCTTTAGTACAAATCTGCCAATTACGGAGGCGCCGAGGCGAAGCAACAACAGCTGACCCAGACGCAAGCGCTGCCATACGAGACAGCAAAGTAGAGGACCACCCAAATCCTGAAAAAGCCTATGGATAAGGCGAATTAAGCCAATTAAAGGATGGTGTATAATACGACGAGTAGAGCTGTTTGGCAGGAAGGATTGACAGGGCTGCAAGAGGCCACCCATGATTGTCCAGGCAACAAATAGAGCGGAATACAAAATTATGTTATTATGTATGGTCATCTGTAGTCGGCTTGAGATGGCTGGACCAGAAAGAACTGATGAATAAGAGGCAGAATAGGCCGAGTATATAAACAAGCTTATTTCCAAGGTAATAAGCAACTGAATGATCCTATAAACAAGACAATTTCTTTCGTAGGTGATAAAATGGAGTATGAAAACAGCGGTCAATAAAGTAAACAGCCCAGCTGCAAAGAAGTGGCTGAATGGGATTCCTAGGAAGTTGAGAAAAGGAATTCGAGCAAGAACCAATGTTGTAGTGAGTTTGTGATCCGTTTGGTTCGACGATGAGGCTATAAACAAAAGTGAAGAGATGGTGCTGTGTGAAAGTCTAGCGTAGGCCAGAAAAACGAAGAGGAGCAGAGCATATCTATAGGTAAAAAGGACATGATTGAGCCGAAGAAGAACAATAGAGGCGCAAGTGAGTACACCTGAAAGGCAGAAAAATGTTATGGATGAACGACAAGAATAAATTTAGGGAAGCGTTTAGACAGGACTATTAGGCCTCTGCGTTTAATTAAAAGATGAATAATTATGTCTAAAGGTAATAAGGAAAAATGTACTTTCAATCCATTGCTTCTCCGAAAAAATGGAACTTTTTTTAAAGTCACATAGTGTCTTGTCATTAGCTTGAGGCATTACGGCTAGTTGACCTCAGTACGCGAATTACATGGGAAAGATTTCCTTCTAAATTAAATCCGTCAGTAAAGCTAAAGATATAGAAAGATAAGCCGGATTTCGTGAATTCAATGATTAAATTAATTTCATTGCTACTTTAATTTAGTTCCAAACGATTAATGGAAGGGATTTGTAAATGGACCTGCGAGTTGTGGTTTTAGATTTGTGCGAATAAGACCTCAGCTCATCGTCCTGCAAGCTTTATGCCGACTACGATGTCGGCGAAACGTCTGGGAATGTACAACGTCCGCGGTCCTACTCTGGAAATGATCATGCATACAACGGACTCCGGACTAGGTGCGTTCCTCTAAGTCTTCCTACCAATATGACCAAGTTACGAAAACAAAATCAAACAACTTTTATGAATTTATGCTGATCCTTCATCTATCTAGTGTCAGGCGTGATCAGAACCTTATGATAGAGGCATAAGCCAGTTGTTTCGAAAACTGCTCATCCTTAATGCAGCTTCACTAGACTTTTTCTTTTTCCTTGCTTATTTAAATGTAGTGTGGTGTGCCATTTTTGAGTGGCTTTCATGAGAACCCTCCACATTCCACACTGGCGTGCTCACCCCTCTTCACCCTTGTGCTGGGAATATTGATCAGACTCTGCGATATTGTTACGCAGTCCTCTTTCCCTAGGTCTTATAACAGTCTCCCTCTTGCTCCGTAGAATCCGTCTGCTCTCTCTCTGGTTCAAGTATTTCACTCGACCCCTGCCACCCCATCGGTGCTACTCGAGGCGTTATCACCCATCCCCTGCATCTGGGTGATTAATTCGAGGCTAAAGCCTCTGAGTAAGCCTCATGGTCAAGCCTTTGCTACATGGACCAAGTTTATGCTAAAACAGGCCTACTGTCAGCCAACTAACTCTAGCCTCCGCAGCGTCTATCCTGTTTCTATCCCTAATACCAAGTCTATGACGTCCTGTGCCCAAGTCTCTTGTGTGCCAACCAACAAACGTGTTTTAACGATGAGCCTAATCAAAGCAAGCAGTACCAAAACATTTGTTGGTTGACACACAAGAGACTAGGGCATAGGAAGTCATAGACTTGGTATTAGGGATAGAAACAAGATAGACGCGGCGTAGACAGGAGCTAGTTGCGTGACAGTAGTTCTGTTTTTACCATAGACGTGGTCCATGTAGCAAAGGCTTGACCATGAGACTTACTTGGGGTCTTTAGCCTCTAATTAGTCATTCAGACGCAGGGGATGGGTAATAACGCCTCGTGGAGCACAGATGGGGTAGCGGGATCCAGGGAAATACTTGAACCAGGGAGATAGCAAACGGATTTGACGGGATAACAGGGGGACTCTGATAAGAACTAGGGAAGGGGGGACAGCGTAGCAATATGGCAGACTCTAATCAACATTCCCAGGAGTTGTAGTGTGGTGCTAAGA